ATTTGACAAAACGCTGTTGGCCGAACTCATCTCTGAAGATGTGTGGATGGACCGGTTACGACGCGTAATAGAGAGGAAAGACCGGGCAGGATTTGAACTCATGGGCCCGTATACGAATCAGCTGTGGAATCAACTCTCAGTAATCGATGACTGCATACTGGTGGACAATAGGCTAGCAGTTGCAGTACAACTTCGTCCAGCAGTTATAAAGCGAATTAACCGAGGACATCCGGGGCAAGAGGCAATGCTTGACGTGTCGAACTATTTGTGGTGGCCCCACATGCACAAGGATATTGTGAACTTAGCGGAGGAGTGTAGAGAATGTACACGCTATGGTAAGAATGCAAAATATATTTTACCAAAAAATTCCTCGCAACCACTGCCACTGCTATCGCAGCCGGGACAGGAGGTTCAGTTAGATTACGCGGGACCCTTAGAAGATTATAAGGGGAAGAAAATCTACTTGCTAACAGCGATTGATCGTTATTCAAAATTTCCTTCGGTTAAAATACAAAATCAACGGGGGGGAAATCCACTATTAAATTCTTACGGTCATACATAGATACGCACGGAATCCCAGAATCGATAGAAACTGATCAATTCTCTGGATTCAAAGGAAAAGCAATGAAAAAATTCCGCCTCGAAAACAACATAGAACAAAAGTTCTGCCCGGTGGGTGACCATCGCGGTTGTAGTCTAGTTGAAAGAACAATACAAACCATAAAAAGGCGTTTGGGGGTGATGCTACTGGAAGAAAATGTAAAGTCAATAAAACTATGTCTCAGTACGATAATTAGGGACATGCGGTGGATAAAGCAGAAAACCATTCAAAAATCACCGTTTGAATCACGTTTCAGTAAATTACCAAAAACAGTGTTCAAAATTATACGAGATAAAATTGTAGAATTCTCTGATCATTTAGATAAACAGCATCTGGAGAGGTCGGCATTAACTGCAAATCAACTAGAGAAGAGGATTGACCAATCTCGGGATTCTCTCAAAATCGTCAAGAAGGGGCAGAAGAGCCGGGATATCAGCCCTCTCTTCAAACAAGAGAACATGTCGACACAGGAGAAGAACAGAGCAAGAACTCTCCGGACCCTGTTAGAAGCCAACGCCAACTGGAATGCAGAGCGGCGTAGATATGACGGACCCATCCTACAACAATTAGTGGACACCACAAGCACTATCGACCCAGATTTGCGGAAAGAGCTCCTATATTCATGGGAGAAGGAATTCGTCGAGGACAAACCAAAGGGGTCGGAGTGGAACAGTCACAACCTCAGCCGTAGAGACGAGACAAGAAAAAGTGGGGCGGCACTGACAAAACCGTTCAAAGGAAAAGTTATTTTCGAGTCACCGAAAACAGTGACAACCGCTGCGGGAGCAGTATATCGCAAAAGCGATCTGGCAAAGATGACGAGTTCCTCTACGAAGATACCCAAGGATGGGACAAGCCAAAAAGAGAAGGCAAAGAGTCCATCTGAAGAGCCAAAGAGTAAGCACCAAAAGAAGGATGACGAGCTAGATGATGACATGGTAGCGGAAGAGGAGGAATTGAACATATCGAGTGAACAGTTAAAGGACCTCTTCCAGGACAGCGAGACCGTAGTCACATCGCGGGACACACCTGTTGGTGGGGGGCTCAATTTAGCAATAAAGCGAGCGAAGCCAAATCTCGGGGGTCCAAAGACAGCTGGACCGAAAACACAAGAGCAGGTGTCATTAAACCCGATAGGGGATTCACAGGATAAAAAGGAACGAACAACCAAGTCCAAAGGAAAATTGGACAAAAAGAAAGCTGCTGTAACAGCAGAAGAGGCCAGAGCACCAGGACAAACAGAAACGGTGGACCAAACTGATCAACCGAGCAGTTCGAACCCCAAAGCTAAACAGTCAAAGAAACGCATAACAAGGGACACTTCACCTAGCTCAATTTTGAATGCGTTTCAAAACCAGGACATGGGAGCCGAGGAATGGCAAAGCCTCGCAGACCAAGTGTTGACAAGAGGTCTGCAGAAGACGGCGGAAGAAATAATTAAATCAAGAACTGAAAATCTGACAGAGACGACAGGCGAACACGGATCTCCGCCCGGAATTTCGGATGACTCAATAGTAGATGAACAAGTTGGTACGAGCGTGAGGCGCAGTAAGCCAGCCACGAAAAACCAGGGGCCTAAAAAACTGGGTAGCCCAGTTAAACATTCGGTTAAGTAGATTAGTGCAGACGAGGAAGCAGACATAAATGAAATGGCTCTGGAGCAGTATAGATACGGTCTGGCAAATGTGAAGACTGATAAGAATAAGCCGATGGAAACCCGCTTGAAGCTTCTAGAACGCCACTTATTTCAAAAAAAGTTTGAATATACCGCACTGGACACGACGCAGCCGTGGAGTACACAGTGGAAAGTGCCTCTGGAGATTAAGAAACACTCAAATTAGAAAGAAGGAAAACAGAAAAACTTAAAGTAAAAACAAAACACCTCCATCATCAATGGGATCACAAAACTGAGCTGAAAACTCGTATTATTGATATTTATTTATATAATTTTATATGTATTAGATAAAATTTTATTGGTCCTTGGGGGAATGTGGTACTGCGGCGTTAGCAGTAGGTAACCTTGAGAACAGTTTGTTAGCTACTGCATCTGCAGTAACCATATGTGCTAATTATATTTTATATGCTATTATTATATAAGAGCTGTCAAGGCCATTTGGTGATGCTAAAATCCTATAGATGAATTGGTCAGTGATTTCATACTTCAGTGTATCGAACAGTAACCAATCTCAGCTACGAAACCTTGTTAACAAGAATCAAGAACATTAAATTAACAGTATCTATCTTTACTTTTATTCCATAACACGCTATGCAGTTTGGGAATATCACATGGCGCAGTCAGCAGGATTTCTGGCTCAGGATAATAGAACTGACATGGGAATTCCTGTTTTCTGGACCACAGCGAACTCCGATCCACCTTGGAATTTTAAGGTATGGTTCGATCAGTTCCTGATGGCGGTAACTGTAAAAGACAATTTCAACCCAGAAGTTATGCTGGAGGATCCTAAACCGGTGCTGGAGGAGCCGGAACCACGACCAGAAATACCTAGAGAGGATGAGTCCGCTGCTGCAACAGCAGCTCGAGAAGCACGGGATAGACTGTTAAGGGATCGAGTAGCAGCCGAGAATGAAGAAAGAAGAGAAAGAGGACCTAAAGTGGGTCACAATATTTACTACAATGAAGTTCAAAAGCGACTAGTATCCAGGCTATTTCTTGCGTTCGGGACGGAAGGAAAGAAACGGTTTGTTCAAAAGAATCCACATGTTGAGATTTCGAAATTGGAATTTAAAGAGATGGTCAGATTAACGAAGGAGACTTTCGAAAAATACCAGAGTATCACCTATGAGCGTTATAAGTTATTTAATAGATCGCAGAAAAATGGAGAATCGTTAGAGGCATTTCATGTCGCACTAACTGCACAAGCAGCCAAATCGGCATTGGACACTTTAGAAGATGAGTTAGTCAGAGATTTATTCATTTCTAAAATGCGAAGCCCAGCATTGCAGGGCACATTCACGTTTGAAACATTACCTCCTGACGAAGTGTTGAAACGTGCTATAAAATTTGAGCAGAGCAAACAATCGACACAAGCGTTTCAGAAGTCCACACTAGGCACTGCACAAACAATAACGCAACCGAGTTCTCAAATTAAAATCAAGCAGGAACCGATTCTGGCGGTGGGAAACAGGAATCACAATAATAGAAAACCCTATCGCGAAAGGAATAGACGGAAACAGCCGGAAGGAAGGGCGATATCGAATAAATTTAACGCAGATGATCGGAAACAATGCAATAGGTGTGGCAAACCATTCGTGGATGGACGTTTGAAAAATTGTGCGGCGATGGGGAAACAATGTAAAAAACTGTAATAAACCAAACCACTTTGCTCGGATGTGTCGATAATAGCAAAGAGACTTAGTGTAAAGCATCTAAACTACTAAACAAAACAACAATTGTTAGTATTGAAAAAAAATTACTTTTTTGAAAAACATTCTCCAAAAAAATCTTTTAGAATCGTTAAAATTGATTATGATTGATTATAATGAGTTATATTTGCGTTAAAAAAACGTAAGATTAAGTTTCATTTGCAAAGAGTTAAATTCAGTTGTTGAATTTGTAATATTCTACTAGGAAATGACAAAAAAAGATGAAAAAAAATTGATTTATGTTAACAAGCGTTCGGTGCAAGTCTTTACATTGAATCATTTTTTAATTAAAACCGTTTTTTTTATTCGTCAGATAATTTTTTGTAATCTCTTCCAAGATAATTGTTAGTCTGTTCAAGCCTAAAAAAAAGAAACATCAAAATTTGAAATAAAAATCGAATCAATAATAATAGTGTTCGGACATTCTTTGCTGCTTGTTCCGACAATTGAAAATTGAGGGGGAGGAATATGGTTTTCGGGCATGTTTTTTTTCCACCTAAATTCAAGAACAACATACAATCACCGGAATGGATTGAGTGATAAATTATAGTACGGAGTTTTCAGTGGTATATCGAACGTATATATAAGAAAAATTCCATACAGATGTCCCAGTGTTGAGAAAACCGAGATGAAGTTTTTGAGTTTTTGCCTAATTTCCTGATTTCGAAAGAATAAAGCGATCGTAACGTTTGCTATATGAAAATTGGTCATTTAAGCTAAATAATTTAGATATCACTTTAAGGAAAACTTGTTCATTTAGCGCTTCCTTGGCCAAAAAAGTTTTCTAAAAAAAGTTTTTCAAAATAGTTTTCTAGAAAGTTTGTGCAATAAAATTTAAAAAAAAAGTTTTTTTGTTATTTTTGTGTGTAACTCATTCGTTGGAAAAAAATTGTTGTACATTATGCCTAACTCGCTAACTTTCTACGCTTTCGAAAAGTTTTCTTATCGCCGGCTTAATTCCTTCGGTTGAAAAAATTAATTTTCCTTTTACCAGCAATATTTTTCTATGACACAGGAAGTACGTGTGGATAGTGTCTGAGAGAGTGGTGAGAGGAAGGCAGTCCAATTACATGCCAGAGGGTCTGGTCGGGTTCAGGGCCAACATCCCCAGCAGCCAGTCCAGGATCACAGACGCTGTCAAAGTAAGTGCCACGCGGAAATGATTACGCAATGAGATGTCGTGGAATAATCACTCATCGCAGAAAATGCTGTTTTAAGCTGATGAGAGCTGAGGATTCAAAATCTGAAAGAAAAGCGTGACAATTTATTCACAGTTTATTGAATTTTAAGTGATTCAAATTTTCAGCCATTCGGTTGTTCTGTGTTTAGAATAGTCTCCCCATGTGGCTTTTCTAATGCAATTAGGGTCAAATTGAAAATCTGGACTATATTCTTTAAAATTGTAAAAATAAAATGTTTCGTTTTAATTTTTTCTAATGCCATTCACAGGCTCAAATCTTTTAATCGATTTGAAATTGTACGAGCTAAAAATATGCAGTCTGTAAAAATGTTATACCGAAAAAGTTTGTTCTGAAAACTGGTACGCAGGGGCGGATCTAGGATTTTCTCGAGGGGGGGGGGGCGGATTTTCAAAAAGTTTTCGAAAATTTTGACGACCTTTTTTTTTTTTTTTGGGTCGATCAGATTGACGTTCCGAGCTCTCCCAAAGCAGTAAAAAGACCCTGTTTTGGCCAAACTTTCTGCGCCGCAGGCAATTTGAAAAAACAGGTCAAAAAAGCCGTTTTTGGGCACTTTTTGGAAAATTTTGACAAGAAAAACGCATTTTTTTGGCGCGCGCTCCCCCTCAAAATTAGTATATATTGGCGCCGAAGGCGCCTTTAGAAAAAACAGGTCAAAAAAGCCGTTTTTGGGCACTTTTTGGAAAATTTTGACAAGAAAAACGCATTTTTTTGGCGCGCGCTCCCCCTCAAAATTAGTATATATTGGCGCCGAAGGCGCCTTTAGAAAAATTTTAGGGTCGGTCGGCCAAAAATGGATTTCTTAAAAAGTACCAAAGGGGGGACCCTTTGGGTTGGCAGGGGTTCGAATCCCTGAGGAGGGGGATGCGTCCGCCCCCCCGCCCCCCCCCCCCTAAATCCGCCTCTGCTGGTACGTATACATTTTGAGGAAGCGCTCTTCGAAAATATTGTATTGGTCGACCAAAAAGAGATGTTGCTAATTAGTTCAAAAAGATGGACAAAATAGGAGAGAGAGTAACTCAAATAAATCGAACTTCTGAGGACGTGGAGGGATTCTCAACCCCCCTTAAGTTCACTACTGGTAGTATATGTGTTGTAGATGATCATCCGTGCGCATCGAGAGGAAAGTAGGAAAGGGGAGGCATTCTACGTGGTCCAGAGGTCATGCTACTCAGCTGAACAGATGCTACACCACCCAAAAACACTGGCTCCGTAACTGACAATTAATTTGAACTAAGTAAAAGAGTTAAACTAAAAACTAAAACAGCTAATTACGGATCTTTTAAAATATCCCCCTCTGCTCCTATTGCAAACGGGGATATTCGGCAAAAAGCATTTGATTAGCCGTCATATTAATTATGCGCGAACCATTTCCTAAATCAACAAGTTGAGAGCAGTTAGCTACCATCAAAATTTACATGCAAACGACGACTCGTATTTAGCTGGACGATTCGATATTTTTAAATTCACTCAAAAATTCTACTACTCATTAGTTGATCAACTGTCCATTTGATTCAAATTGGGAAAAATCTATTTAGAAATCTAATTATAAAAAGTTATAAAGACTAAAAGGGGTATATTGATCTACAGTATGATTTCATTTGTAGAGCCCTCCTAAACACTTCGATGCTGGGCAGCGATGGCCTGATCACCTTCGACAAGACACTTCTGCCAGGACATAGAAGCACATACAACTACAGTCTGGTCAACCTCCAGAAAAGTAAGTAAATCATCAAACAAAGTTTCAGAATGATTTGAGAAAATACATTTTGCAATAGAAAAATTGAAGCATTTCAATTCATAGTCTATTAGTTCCAAACAATGAGAAAAACCGCGTTCAGGCAATTCAGCCGAACCAAATGGGCCAATATAAAATTGAGAGAATTCAACCAAGAATACCCTGTCAATTTTTTAAGATTAAGACCATTTCATCCACGGGGGAAAGGACCAACACAAGAGCTGTACAGCTCATCACGGTGAACCGCTGTTGTGCCCCTGTTTAAGAACTACATGCAATTTTTTTGGTTATTTTTCTGGGCTGGGTTATGTTGCTTCACCCTCAAGCAACGAGCACGGATCATGGTGGGCCTCGAACATCCGACCTTTCGGTCGACAGACAAATTCAGCCACAGACAATTCGGTCGACCTCATTCCTTGAAATAACGAACTCACTCAGACAAAATTGGAAGAAACAGGTGATACCCAGTTGCGGATCCAGAAGGTTTCTGGGACGAGGGGTCTGCATTTTGGAAAAAAATTATATCAAAAATTTCCTTGATTTACTTTCTGGTCGGTGAAAATAATTTTCTAGGCTCTCTGCAAACAATAAGGAAAAACCTACTTAGCCAACAGTCGGCCAATAAACTGGTCTACAGACAAAAATTTGCAAAAATTAGCAAAGTGCAAATTTTGGGCTTTTTAGATAAACCTGGGAAAAATATGGACTTAAACTTGGAACTTATGAAATCGTACTAACAATGGGCAGTTTTGGTGGAAACCTTGATTGGCTTTGCTGTGAAATCAGCACTTCTTCGTTAAGGTTTCGTCAAAAGTCCAGTAGTGATTCAGACTCTGTTCAAGGCCACTTCAATTTTGATCAGAGGTTAAACCACAGATAAATAGCACAGAACCCGTTATTTTCCAAGTTTTTAAATGAAGTTTAAATCCTGTACTACAAAAAAAAACAGTTTTTTTCAACTAATGATGAACAAATGATCAGCACTGAACCAATGGTTGCTAAGTTTTTTTCCGCAGTATAGTTGAAAATTTTTTAAACCATTTGAGCGAAAACGATTCTTAGCATCATTTGCGGGTTGTATCGTAGATCTCAGACTTTTAAATCCATTTTCAAATACTAGATCTCAGACTCCAATCTGAGGAAAGGCGAGATAATAACGGTTACAAAAACAAATCGGAACTTAATCTAGATTGTTTTGCGCCTTTACGCTAAATTGATGATATTTCCGCCGTCCAAAATGATCTGCGCGCCTACATCTATTTTGTTATAAGTTTCAATCAGTTGGGCTGGTAAAGAAATTTCAGTGAATGACACGGTGACGAGTCCGATCCAGACAGTGAACTTAATAGGCAATTATGAGAGACCGTAAAGCAAGCAAATCAGAAGCAAAGCATCCAATTAGAAGAAAATTATTAGCCGAATGTTATGATACTATGTATTACAGGAGTTCAGTTAATCTTATTTTTGTTCGATTTAACTGCAAGGAAGATGTGAAATAATATTGATGACCCTGAAGGATTTATTTGGTCAAAAACTACAACTTATAGGTTAATTAGTTTTTTGGAAATGGTTTCTACGTGTGGAAATCAGTGAGAAGCAAAAATCCGACGTGAAAATGAGCAGTTTTAGGTTGATTAACTTCGTTCAGATTCGTTGACCGAAAAACAATTTTTCAACTATTTGGCATTAACTATAATCAGCCAAATTTTCAAAAGAGCATTTCACTTACAAAGCCCAACACCACAAATCCGAACACCACTACAACAAGACTGCTCGTATCAGGGCGAAGCCTTGTAAGTTCTATGGAGCAGAAATAACTTGAAAAAATTAAACGTAATAAATGAAAACGAATTTTTTTGTTAAACTTGAAATTTTTTGTGAAAACTATCCCCCCACACGCCATATAAAGTACAAAGTGATAGATTTTGCTTCTTGTAACCCATAACTTTACACTAAAAGATTACAGATGAAATATTTTTTTTCAAATTTAAGCTCAGGACAACAATATTTTTTATGAATGATATAAAAATTCCGTCAAAAATGGCTAGTTAAAAATTCGAATTTTGTCTGAAGAAAAAGCAACCCCAAGCACAAAAATTCCGTCACTTTCTTAGAAAGTAGGAACAAGAACATGAGTGTAATTGAATAACACGAATGTTTGTTTGAATAATACGAAAAATTACTTTGTTGGCATTTTGTAGCCTTCATGTGGCATTAGGTTCAGCGACAGTTGAACTGAGAAAAAAAAGCACCTATGTCGTGGAAATCATTGACGGCCAGTGAATTTTGCGACCAGTCTTAAATCTGAACTTGACGTTGTAACACGAAAGTTGCCAATTTCTTGATGTTTCCTAATTAAAATCTGTGTTTTTGAAAATCCAGTCTAAATTTCTGGATATCTCGGCAACAGTCCAATCAACCAGACTGGTTAGTTCATTCGCTTTAGGCTCTGGATCTGGTCAACTGCAGTGGAGATCGATGGGGGAGTTCTTCGTGCAGTCCAATGCCTCCCTCTCTCTCAAGTCCATCAAGTGGATCGGAGGCAGCAGCAACGCACCCTCCTCCAAAAGCCTTGTGAGCTGACCCAACAAACTGACAAAACCCCGAACCTATTTAACTTACAAATTAAAATTAACTCAAGTTTCTATAAACAACAGCCACCAAAAAAGATCAATGTATGTCTTTGACATGGATGCGGTTAAGGCCTTCAACGTGTTTCAATTGGTTTTGCAACCTAAAGCATAAAAGTAGCATATTATCCATGATAAAAACGGAAAACCGACGCATAGAAATCATTTTTTGATGGGTTCTTCATTGAGAAGGAAAAAAATTGTACAAATTAAATTCGTTTTCTTATCAACTTGACCTTTAGGGTGGCAGTTTCCGTCTAGTTTCGGTGTACGAGCAGCCCTTCATTATCACCTCGCCTGTCAATCACTCTTCTCTCAACCCTACAGGGGTCAACAGAGGTCATCAGGACTTGATCAAACTTGTGAATGATGAGTCATTCTCCAGCTCAGTGTGTCCTGAGAAGTCTCAAGTAATGTGTCTTGTACACTCGCCAGAAGGTTCAATTTCTTATTTCTCAAGTCATCATTCTTTAGTCGTTCTTAGCCAAGATCGAGGCAGAATGAATCGTCAAAAAAATATATTCTTACCTTGGCCTGCTTTAGTTGGCTTTTGACCAGTTTCCGAGCAAGATGTTTAAAATTAAAGAGGTATTTTAAACCCCGGGAGTTTTTTTGAGCATTATCTCGACTATGATTGTTTGCAGAAGTTCTTAATTAGTTCTAGTTAGATTTATCCACTAAGAAAAGGACCAACATACGAGCTGTTCAGTTCTTCCCAGATGAATCGCTGATGTGACCCTGTTTAAGAATTACGTGCTTTTTTATTATTTTTCTGAGGTGGGTCGTGTTGCCTCGCCATCAAGAAACGAGCAGCTGTCTCTTGAATTTTGAGACTGCGAAATACCACTTTGTTTAAAAACATGTTTTAGTGACTGCTGCCACAGTATATTCGTCCAAGTACACCACTGTCAACTGTTGCACTGGAGTACATGTCGAATTCATCCTGCAAATGATCGACAACATATACGCGGTAAGAATGATTTGTAGTCTTGATTTTTGATTCCAATTTTGGAACCACTCTGCAAAAAAATCCGAAATTGAATTAAACAAGACTGCTCGTGAATCAGAGCAAAGTCTCGATGTTCCGACTGCCCATAAATTGGTCTCGAATAGTTTTTGATTAATGAGAGCGAGATGTCGACAAAAATATCAATTTTAGGCTGATATGGAAATGAAAAGACCAAATATAGAGAGTTTCAAAAACTTCGGATAGACAGATTTAATGAAAAAGACCAATTGCACAATTTGACAACTTCTTTCATGAGTTTGTTTTTCTATGAATTTATCAGAACGAATTTGTGTCTCAGACAACCTTGAGACACAAGTTTGGTCTGATAAATTATAGAGAGTTGCAAAATTCCGAACAAACAGAATTAAAAATAAAAAAAGAATAATCGTACCATTTTGACAGATTTTTACATGCTATTTTTTCAGACAAACTTGAGAGTCCAAACCGGACTGAAAAATTAGCTTCTGCGTGCAAAATTTTTCCATATAGGTCTACTGCTCTTTTTAATTAATTTTGTCTCCTAATCTTGCTGCTAATTTTTTTGCTGCTAATAATAGCTTGCCTGAACTCAATTTGGAAAAATTTTGTGGTGCGGGAGAATTCATTACGCGTAAATAAAGCGCGTTATTTTTTCAGCGTTAAAGTATAAAATGAGCACTTTATCTTGCCTGGAACCAGATTTTTGTAATGGTGTTCGAACTTGGCTAGGCTTTTGAGCTTTTCCGAAAGTTTGGCTGAATATACTTCATGCCAAATTATTGGAAATTTCTTTTTCGATCAACGAATCTGAACGAAGTTGATTAATCTAAGACTGCTCATTTTCACGTCAGATTTTAGCTTCTCACTAATTTGCACACGTAAAAATCATTTCCGACAAACTAATTAACCTATAAGTTGTAGTTTTTGACCAATTAAATTGATCAAAGTCACCGATATTAGAGGCATTTTGGCATAAAAAACGGACCAAGTTAACATCCCCCCAAGCCGCTAACTTGGTTCTAAGTTGAACTTTCAGCCAATCAGAATCGAGCATTTTACGTGAAGCACAAATTTATTCTGAATTAAACGCTGGGGTACAAGATCTTAACTTGGTCTGGCTGGGGAGGGGCAGTGGGAGGGGCTTGCGGGGAGGGGGGAGGATGTTAACATGATCCAAGAAAACGATCCGAGCATAGTATGCTCCTGACTTTCTTCGAAAGTCGGAACAAAAACAAAATAGCCAGTTGCTCTGCAAGCAGTCGAGCGCAAATACAAAAATGATTTTCAGAAAGACTTTTTCATTGGTGTCGTTTTTGTTCGCGCGAGGAAAGGGACAAAAAAGCAGCGTTAAAACTACTAATAGCTCTTTTTGAATACAAAAACGTCGCCTAAAAATTGTTTCGAGAATAGAATACAACAAGTTTTCAACAATTTTAGAATTTTCTAGAGCAGTAGACACTTTTTTATTTACCGTTTTTTGATGGTTTTATGACTGAAATTTTTTGTTGGTTTTATGACTGATACCAAATTTATTTTTCTCGACATTGATAAAAAAAATTTTGTAAATTTTGCTATTGATCAAATCACAACTGGAAAGTTTTTCATATGGTTTATCGATCCTCCAATCTGTCTGATCATTTCTTGTGAAGCCCGATTTTGCGTGAATTCAAAGTGCAAAGTGCGTTCACACTTTCAACGGTCAAAGCAAAAACTGAACAAAGTTTTCGGTTTTAAACAATTAAAATTTTTCGAGGGAATGATTGAAAAATTAAACAAATTTCTAAATGTTTTTTGGTGATTTGTTTCAAAATAAATTTTCTGTTTTTAGTTGTTGAAAAATGACAGCAAAGTATTGCAGAATCAAAATTGATTGTCCATTCAAGATGTAGAGCTACATTTCAGTTCTGAAATGTGCTTTTTTTCACGTTGAATAATCAAAGGCGAAAAAATGAAAAAAACTCCCTGTACTTAAATCAGTTACTCCATAACCTGAAAAAAAATTTCGAAAGTTCCTTTAAATTTGTTGAAACTTTTGTAAGATTCATGACCGTTCTCATCGGAAATTATAGCAAAATTTTTTTATCTTAGTTACCATTTTTTCTTTTTCATTGTTTCTTCACTCAGGCCGAGAAAAACTCACATTTGAAAAATAAAGAAGTACAAACTGCATTTTTAAATTTTAAAAAAGTTTCTGTTTCTGGTACCTTCTGCGCTGTACGTACAAGAACCGGCAACAATTTGCTCATTTTTGATGTTTTTGTATTTGCATTCCTAGATTTTTGTTTTGTCAATTCTGAATTGCGTCTAACTTCTGTTTTTTCGCGTCCATTTGCAACTTAGTGAAGTTATCCGAAAACAATGGATAATTTGGCTTCTCATTCTTTTATCAGAATGACGACAGGAGACCGGAGTTCACAATACACATTATGGAGAACAGCACTTACGGTCTCTACAACACCAAACAGTCAAAGTTCAGTGGCGTTCTTGGAAAAGTCTCCGACGAAACATTTGATTTGGTCTTCGGCCCGATTAGCATGACGGCTGACAGGCAGAGACTTTAGTTTTATGCGAAACAAAAATAAAATTTTGAACCGAAATCTGATTTTCTGGAGAATGTTCTGTCAAATGAATCAAATTTTTCATGCAGGTTTTCAAAAAAAGAACTTTTCTCTATTCAGAATTTTTTTAAATATTTTTCTTATAACTTTTTGCTCGTTGCGTGAAGATTTAATCTCTTAATTTAATCGATGGCGTGAAACATTAATTTGGTTTCTATAAAAATGTTTTCGATGACTAATTTGTTAATTTAGAAACAGTTACACCAAAACAGCGAGATGAATCACATATTTGATATAGATACGATTATTTTAGTGAGGCAGCATCCCAGGTAGGCAAGCATTCGGTTCTTTTTTTTGTTGATTCTTTATTGGTTGAACCCTTGATTAAAAACTAAGTTTAGGATAAATGAAAACTAAACTCTCTGCTAAACAGAACGAGGCACTTTGAGTTCTCTCATATTTACTACTGGAGTAACCTTGTGGTGGTGACAAAACGACGAGCCAAGACGAGTGATCCTTCTTCCATTTTGAGACCCTTTCACAGCTACGTGTGGCTTGCAATCGCAATGTCAGTTTGTGTGGTTTCAGGTACGCTATCTGGATTTTTATCTGGATGCTTAGATGGATTTTTATTTCGAACTTTTAAAATATAAATTCAACGTTACAATAAAGTAAAATGATATTTTATGAATCACGACTATAGTTGATATATATTTTTTGGTCTGACTCAATCGCAGTTTCACTTCAAGAAATTTATGGAGTAATTAAAGTGAGAGAAATGAATGAATCCAGGAGCGGATTAAGAGGGCATAGGTGGACGCTTTTCTCTCTCAGGTATTTGACCATCTTGTGAACCAAAAGAGCCCCCCTTTCGTAGTATCTTGCAACATCCGTTTTCGGCCGACCGGCCCTAAATTTTTTGTACAGGCCAATATATACTAAATTTGAGGGGAAGCGAGCGTCAAAAACTTTACAATTTCCATAAAATGTGCCCAAAAATTGTATTTATGGCCAATTTTTTCTTTTCAAAAACAAGGTGTTTTAAGAAAGCTTGCTGCTTATTTTGGTCAACAAAAGCAAATCGGTATCAAAATTTCAAAACTTTTGAAAGTTTGATACCACCTCTAAGTGAAAACCCTTTTGAAAATCTTAGATCCGCCTCTGATTGAATCTGAAATTTCTTAAAAGGAAAACTATTCTTCAGGATTTTTTTTGTAGAGCACAATCTAGGTTACACAAAGCGGTTTATTTTCAGTTTAATCGTCTAAGGTTAAAAGAAATGTCGATGCCAAAGTGTTCATTGTAACTTAACGTGTTCATTTCTGATTCAGTAAGTCTGTGGATAGTTGAGAAGTACAGTCCCTTTGGAGGAGCCAAGGTCAATAACTCCTCCTTTTCATCTTCTGGACTACTGCCACATCAGGAGACATCTTTCGAACACCATACTAGTCGTCTCACCCCTTTGGACAATAACTTCGGCAACCAGTTCGATGCCACAAACTCAAGCTGGTTAGTTTAGGTCTAATAATCTCTTGATTATGTTATCTCAGTTATTAATCAAATATATCACAATATATGAATATTAGTCATGCTCAATTGTGCTCTATAAACTCTTTGAACTCAGATGGCATAATTTCAGAAAATGATAGTTTAGGATTGAAGCAGAAAGAGCTGTTTTTTTGCCAAAAACTGACTATACTCCAAGAAAGGGAAAAATTACCAAAAAGTAGCAAAAATTTAGAAGAAGAATAACCAACTTTCTCCAATTGAACAAGAGGGTGTAGAGAAGGGCGAAATTAGGATTTTTTGGAGGATAGGGGGGATTTTCAAAAAATTTTCGAAAATTTTGTCGACCAGTTTTTAGGTTTGACCAAATTGATTTTATGAGCCCTCCCACAACACACTAAAACACTCTGTTGGCCAAAAATATTGCGCCGCAGGCAAAAAAAAAGATCAAAAACGCTGTTTTTGGGCTTTTTTGGAAAATTTTGACCAAAAATTTCCGTTTTTTTGGCACGCGCTCCCTTCAAAATTAGTCTATATTGGCGCCGAAGGTGCTTTTAGATCAATCTTAGGGTTGGTCGGATGTCATAAATTAATACCAAAGGGGGGACCCTTTGGTTGGAGAAGGGTCGAATCACTGACGATTGGCGTCTGTGCTCAATCTCCGTAAACTAGATAAAAACGGCTCTGACAATAAAGTTTAACTCGTATTCTCGGCAATACAGACATTCATCGTCGTTAATCCATAAACAAGCCAAAAAAATCACATAACTCATCTTCATAATTGCAACAATCTTCAGCTCCGAATATAATTTGTTTCGGCGCTGAAGATTGTTGCAATTATGATGATAAATGCATATATACTCTCGTTTTAAATGCATTTACACTCTTGTTTACATTTTCGTTGCAACAGCGTCGGCTCAATGGATTGGAAAAAGAGGGCTAAAATCCGTAGAAGAAAATCAAGCGTCTCTCCTGCCCCTCACTCGTACACTCTACACCCCCTCGTCCCCTCACCCAACTATCGATGATTCTATAGAACTTTTTTCAGGTACACAGTGGGTGTGTTGTTGGGCGTGTCCCTGATGAGTAGGGTTCCGAAGGCCACCAGTTCGAAGCTGATCAGTCTGATTTGGAGTCTGTTCTGTCTGGTGGCACTGACCACGTACACTGCCAACCTGGCCGCCTTCATGGTCTCCGAGACACCCACCCTCACATTCCCACAGGGATTCTTCCACGATAGCAGAGTGGGTACAAGGAAAGATTAAGATTTAAGATCACTTATGACTATTATAAAATGATTATTAGTAACATAACTGTTTCATTTTTTCAATTTATTGTAACACAAGATCATTGAACCAGGAAACGGATATTCAGAAATTCTGGCAAACAAACTCTTTTTGGTTGTGCCATTTTTTTTTTCAAAAAACTTCAAAAACATAAATTGACGCAAAACTTCATATATATTGGAACATTGCCGAAAAACTATATACTTATTTTAAACGTACGCTCGTAACAACTGTTGTGCCGCTGATTATTAACTTTATGAAAAAGTTTTTAAATTTATGTTTTGACCAAATCGACCAAGAATCGGTTATGTTTCGACCATCTTGAACCAGGCTCGATATCAAGCTTGATATGTTACCACTATGTTCGACCGAGGAAAACATTTAGAACGAGTTCGACCGAATTTCGGGAGATGGCCGTGCCTCAAATTACCGACATTTTGACAGAGACCATGTCTACTTTCCCAGCATAGCCAAAAAATCTTCAATGTATGTGCAAGAAGATGGCTCTTGTATTTTTTTCAGGTGCGCAACCCTTCGGAGGAATTTGTGATTAGCACAGTATGTGACTCGTTCGTAATTGAGAAGTTCAGAAATGACGAGGAGTTCCAACGACTCGCTCAACACCTCGAGAAGAAGTGCGTCAAGACGACCGAGGAGGGATTCGAAAAGGTTAGCTTACAACACTAAGACATGAAAAAAAAAGAGAACTAGATTTGCTTGACAATAAGTAATTTTTTGTATACCAACTAGGTATTCATTTAGAAGTATGGTCATTTAAAAAGCTCGTTCAAAAAATTATCCCGAAAAACTCCCCATGGTCCCATTAAAAAAAACAGACAGACTAGCTGTGAAAAGTATTTTTCGAAACTTTCCAATTAAATTGGATGCAGCAATTGTTTCGCCTTATTAGCATTGGGCTATCGTATTTTTCAACAAGTTCAATTTCTATCATGGCGAAACTATAAATAGCTTCTATAGGGTGATTGATTTTATTATACGCCTCTATCATACACTGCTGATTTAATTTAACTGGACACAACGAACAAGATAAAATAATTAATGAAGAGAACAAAAGTTGCTCAAAATTTTACCAGATTTAAAATTGTCGCAATGCATTTTTGGTCATATTGTTTTTTTTTAATCAAGGGGTACGCTGAAACTACCGAGTTAATTGATGAGAAAGCTATGTCAGAATAGGCCTCTTACCCGCACCGAAGTTTCTCCGATTATTATCTATTATCTGGCGATTTTGTGGTCGAACAAAAAATTGTTCTTTTAATAGTCAATTACCTGGTGATTTTGTGGTCGCAGAGTAGAATAATCGATTATATGGAGAAAAAAAATTCATTAAAAACTTTAATTTTATGTCGATTATATTGGAATTATAATAGATTATAATAGATTCCCGCACCGAGCGCCCATTGATCATAATCGATTATATTGTCATATTATGATCCGCAATAAAATGACAAAATAATCTATTATAATCCATTAAAAATAGATTATAAGCCTAATATTTTTTTGTCAATATAATCAATTATAATCGATTTTAATCGATTATAATGGATTATTTCGAGGGGTTTTTCATGAAATATACAATTTATTTTAAATTATCTTTTTTTCTGTTTAGTGCAGTTGCTACGTAATACGTTTCATAAAATGTTACATTTCAGAACAAGGTTTCTATACTTTTTGGTCTCTGTTTTTAAATTCATCGCAGTTTAACACTTCATTTTACTGTTTTTTTACCACAAACCCCCCCCCTAGTTTAAACACCCCCCCAGTCTAAACACCCCCCACCCTCAGTTAAGACCCCGGTTCACTACCCCCACCAGTTCACTACCCCCCCCCCCCCCCCAGTGTACGCCACTCCCACTATTTACCTTCCCCCCAGTTTACCACTTTATTCCCCCCCCCCCCCGGTTTATTTACCCATCCCCCCGGTTATGCCCCCCACCCAGTTTACACCCTCCCAGTTTACACCCCCCCCCCCCTCAGTTTACCCTATCCCTTCAGTTAGAGGGGGGGGGGGGTAAAAAGCTTGATGGGCCGAAGGGATGACGTTTTGGCAGTTTTATGGCGATTACAATAGACTTTATTGCAATTTTATGGCGATTTCAGGGCGAAAAAAATAGATTTTGTTGAGATTATGTGGAGATAAAAAAACATTTTAGTGGAATTATCAGGCAATATAATCTTCATGAAAATGTTCTATTGTCTTTCTATTATAATAGAAAACGTTGCTTAAATTGGTTACACATAATCGATTATAATGGCAACATTTTCCGCAACATTTTCTCAATATAATCTTTTTTATCCGAGAAACTTCAGTGCGGGTACACAGCCCGACAAAATTTTAGAAGGTTAAAAAATTGAAACAATTGCGCAAACATTTGAAATTTATTTTTATCAAAGATTTTTATTTTTATTGGTTAAAAATGACCTTTTGTGGCTATCAATCATAAACATACTCTCCTATACAGATTTTTGGAGATTTACGTTCTAGAACGTTGTTGAGCAGTGTAAGAATCTTCTTTTGATCTAAGTATCGCATCAATTAACTCGGTGGATCCAGCGTAATTCTTGATTAACAAAAAAGCCAAAATGATCTAAAATAAATTGCACAAAATAATTTTTAATTCTGGTGAAATTTTCAGCATTTTCTTTTCACTTTTGTGTCATCTTAAATCTATTTGAAAAAAAGGCTTTGAAATTTCAAATTTGTTTGCCTTGTTCAAATAATTTCAATCAGCACTGTAGCATGATTTTTGTTTTTTCTAATCCAAGACAATGAATTGATATTTCTGATAAAATCATTCAGTAAAAAAAGAGGTAAATCCAACAAAGAATTGATTTTTACCAATTTTTTCTTTTTTTTTCATCTATTTGAAGCACTTGAGGACAGTAGCGGATTTAAGGTTGCAGACGTTCCCAGTCCCTCGGAGACTCGACATCCTGCCTAACCAAAGGGTCCCCCATTGTTATAATTGGAGATATCCATTAGAAGCTCACTGAGCCTAAAGTTTTTCTAAAGACACCTTCAACTCAATATAAACTAAATTTGAGGAGGAGCGCGCGCCGAAAAAACGCGTTTGATGGTCAAAATTTTCCAAAAAGCGCCTAAAAATTCATTTAGGTCAACTAAATTTTCTAATTTTTTTTGAAAATCCGCACCCCATAGATCCTTTGAAAACCTTAGATCCGACCCTGTTTGGGGACTCATAGCAAACAGCAATCATAATCCTGAATGATGGTCGAGTCCTTTATGATAAAGAAACCAAATGATGGAGTTTTAACCCAATCAGAACTGAGTTTTCAAACACCAAACAAATTGCCTAATGCATATTCACGATTTTTTCAAATTTTTCCAGACCGAAGCTGCATTGGAACACACGTAATTTTTCAAGAATACCGATTTAAGAGAAGTATGAAAACAAACTCAAACTTAACTATATCTGCAAGGGTTATAGATGCTATAACTTTTTACTGTTTGTTTTAACATAGGTTTTGTGTAGAAACGATTCACCGGAAAAACTTTTCTACTGTATCGAATTGATTGAAAAATTTCCATCGTTTGGGTTTTCCGTTATGAGAATAGCCACCCTAAATGGGGATTATCTCATGCGCGAATGACCGAATGCGCAAACAACTTCAATTAAACTACTGCTCTAACTAGTTATTATATGTTTTAAAAAAATGAAAAGTTAGAAACATTGAAAACAGGTGCGGATTTAGAGGCGAGGATAGCGGGGGGGGGGGGGGCTACCTTCGGGAATTGGACCCTAACAAATACCAAAGGGTTTCCCCTCTGGACAGTTTACCTAAACTTTTTCAAAGGGCGCCTTTGGCATCGGTGTCTTTGGTCTTTGTATCAAGGAAAAAACGTGCGTCATTTCTTTCAACAATGGCGCGATAGTGAAGGCAATTTCTGCTACAAAAAATTCCATTCTGATGCAGCAAAACTTGATGCAGAAGAGGCAGACCTCCCGTAGCATCATCGACTTATGATCACTTCAGACAGACCGTTTACCTGCCCTTTCTTGCTTTTGTCCTGATGGATCTTAAGGAACGCTTCATTGGAGCAGCTTCTTCATGTGTTCAAGTATGCAAGCTGCTACCCCGTTGGATAAGTGAGGAGGATGCAAAGGAGGAAGATTTTGATGATCTGGTCCAGTTATACGAAGGAGTTTTTCCGCTGACTTCCCCAGCGAGTTCGAAATTTGCGAAACCTGTGGCGCTTCTCCCTGTACACGATACCCCAGAAACCTTTACAGCTGCATGCAGAGTGTGTCACAAAACCACAATGCCAGTAAATTTGCTTGCTCCAGATTGGTGCTACTCTCGCAGTGACGGTGTGCATTGCTGAGCGCTCTTTTTCGAGCATGAAACTACTAAAAAATTACTTCCTCTCCAATATGAAGGAGGACCGACTCGCAAACTTGGCGCTGATTTAGATCCACAGAGATGTAGAAATCAAAGTCGAAGATGTCATCGAAAGATTTGCCGCAAAAAAACAAAGAATCAACTTTGTTTGATTTTGTTTAATTTTTTATAGTAAATAAATCAATGTTTTCGTCAAAATTTTTCTCAATCCACCCCCTTAAAAAAATCCTAGATTCGCCCCTGATTGAAAAGCAAAAGAAAGCATTCATCAAATATTGATCAAAACATATAATAACAATTCTATAAAAAAAACTTTAAGCTACGAATTTTCACATTCAGTAGTCGCCATTTTATTTTTTGTGTTGGTAGTTTTGCGCCTCCGCAATTCGGTGAAAAAAAAATGCAATTTGTTCTAGAATTTTAAGAAGTAAATAATCTTCCATAGAGACAAGCTGACACAGGCATTGATGCAGTTCTAACTCAAAAGCCATTTTTTGCAGATATTATTAGTTCAAAAAACGCACGGTCTTTTGTAACCATTCCACAATCCAATGTTCTCTTCTTTGTCCAACTTTTTCGAAATAACCAAAATTATCCAAAATGTTTGACATAAGACTTGGAAACGACTGAACTGCCGGAAACTACAAAAACCAACAATTTTTTAAACATTTTTGAAAATTTTTGAGTTTTTTTGTAAAGTTTTGCCAATCCTAAAGCTTGAAATTGGCAATGAACAAAAATTATTCTGGTTGTAAACTCAACAAAAATCCAAGCTCGAGGTTCAAATTATTGTTTCGAAATTTTAAAAATTTATAAAAAATTTTGTCTTCTAATTTTTATAAACTGAAATTGTACCGGCTTTGCTGCCTTTGATCTAAAATCACCAAACAAGCAGCAAGTTTTTGCTCACTAAAAACCGCAAAAAATGTGAATTGGGTCAAATAGTCGTGGTCTTGTCCTGAAACTAACGTAGCAAATAATGGTGTTGGTTTTAAGCATATTTTCACAAACATTTTTTATCGCAAATACAACAACGCCTACTTCACTGTTGAGATCCAACAAAAAAACTAGTTTTGTCCAGATAAAGTATAAAAACTTCAGACAGTCATTTGTAAATTTGAGTCTTTCGCGGCACTGTTGGCAGATATTGTTTTTTCTCGCAAACTAAACAGTTCTTCATGGTTTGAAACTGGGGGACAAATTTATGCGGTTTTCGGTTTCAGTGACCGCTTTATCTTAGCTTTTTCGAAAATTGATTTTGTTAATAGGTTAATAATCGGCTTTGT